ATATCATTGTGAAGAGGTTGGCAGTTAGACATATGGAGTTAAGGTCATAGCAAAGAAGGACTCAGATGAATAGGAGGAACTTAGTCTGTTATTGAAAACTGTAGGAAAGAGGTTCTTTCCCATATAGTCCTGGATAATAATTCTGTCCTGCAGTAACTGGGAAGTTGCTACTTTAATCTCACGTAAGTAAATATCTTATGAAATATTTTGGAACATGTAAACATACTCTTAGTCTTCACACTTCCAACTGCTAATTTTTTTTTTGGTACTGGGAATCAAACTCATGACCTCTCACTTGCCAGGCAGGTGCTGTGCTGCTGAGCTATAACCCCAGCCCATCCAACTACTAATTTTTGTAACCATTAAGGTTTCCTTCTTGGAATCACATTATTGTAATGATTGTCAAAGGATAGCTTTCTATTTCCAACATATTTTCTATAATTTTTCTTGGCATCTTCTGAAAAACAAACAACAAAAATTTTTTTCTTGGTCTGTTTTAATCCTTCCAAGAAGCATCCTATCAAAAAAGTTCATTATTATTTCCATCTACTGAATGATGGTAAGCTATTGTTCTCATACTCAGAAAATAAATATCAAAGGGTATTATGAAAGACACTAGATTTTAAGTTATCCAAATTACTAGACTGACATTCTTTATGGTTTCTAACTGTAGTTTACTAATACATGTGTGTAGTAGATAATGTTTATAATCTTTGTGGAAAGTTGATACTTGTATGTAACACATCTTAATTTCTTTTTCATCCCCTCCACCCATCTCTGAAAGAGTTCTTGGTTTGTTTTTGGTGCATATTTGCCATACATAATGTTTACATTCCTTGTGTGGAGTTGGTATATGTACATAACACATTCTACTTAGTTTTATTTCATACCTTATCCCTTCTCTCCTTCCTTCTCCTTCCATCTCTTGATCTCCTTCCCTGATGACAATTATCTACCTCCCTACTTTCTATTATCTGTCTTATATTTTACCCTTTGTTTTCACTCTGGGTATCTCATGTAAGACAAACAATGTTATATTTCAGCTTTTGTGTCTGATTTATCTCACTTACCATTATGGTCTCAAGGTGCCTTCTATAACAATCTACTCCAAGTGCCCAACTACTGCTGTAAATATGTGGGTAGCATGCTAAGAGGATATGTACTGAATTTAGTTTCTTGCATACATCACTTTTTCAGGTGCCTGGTCAAAATAATCCTCATAACCTTACAGAAAGGTTTAATGTGGCTTGTATGCTATGAAGGTCCAATCCATGCTTATCTGGCTCCAAGTATCATGTGGAAGGGTATGATACAGTGAGCTGTTCATTTCATTGTCACCAAGAGTAGAGCACGAGAGCTGCATCAGAGACAAAGGCATCAGGGATCTAATATAACACCCTAAAGCAAACTTTGATGACCACTAAGATAACCAAAAGTATATTTAATAAGTTCACTAAGCAACTCTGGAGCCAATCAAGCTGAAAGTCCAATTTAACTGTTAGTTTTCAACCACTTTTCAATTTGATTCCCTGACACATCTCCTTAAACTGCACTAAGTCTCCAAATAATTACAAGATCACAATTGCATTGGCCTGACATAATTTTCCCATGAGCAACCAAAAATGTACTCATGCTGCCCCCAAACCTCAGCTGTTCAAAGACATCTCAAAATTCCAAGTCAAAGGCTCGACTGAGACTCAAGGCAAACTCTTAATTGTAAATTCCTATACAACTGAAAAAGCAGGTTACTTCATCCCAAAATGCAATGGCAAAATGAGAGGAATAGGGGGGACACAAAAGAATCAGACAAAATCAAGACCCAGTCTCACCAAGGCAAATGTTCAGTCTTTTTCCACCACATCCTATCTCCCAGACAGATATTAGAGTGATGTTAGTTGCAAAGGCCTTGAACAGCTCCCTTCTTATGATCTTGCTTGTTACAGCCCACATAACCTACTTCTTGGGCTAACTCTGCTTGTTGCTTGTAGTTTTCCTTGGCTAACATCACACAATTTGGTATGCTGACTTTTTGGTGTCTCCACTGTATCCTCTACTTCATTGCTATGGCTTCATGTACCCACCTCCTAGGTACAATTTACCTCACCTCACAGGCCTTCCTTGAAATCTGGGTGGAAGCTTCCATGACTCCACAAGTCTTACATTCTAGATGCCTGAAAAATCAGCACCATGTGGACAATGTCAGCTCAATCAGAAGACAGGTCTCTCTGTACCATGACTGCAGAGTCCTCTGAATACCTGGATGCCTGAGCATATTGAAAGGAATCCTGGGGAAATAATTTCCTATATAGCTTTCTCCAGGAAGGGGCCCAGGGCCTCTCTCCACAAATGAAAGACTTACACATTTATACTTTTGAGCCTACAATATGTCAGGTATTGCTAATTCCTGAGACGCCCTCAAGTCATCTTTATTTTTGTACCAGTTAAAAGTATTTTTTATCTTTTAATATTGTTAATCTCTTCAGCAATCATGCTATTCTTCATTCCAGCAATACATGCACTTCCTCTCTGGCTAAACCACACATTTTAAAGTCACTTAGTACTTCTTTTTACTCTTGACTCTGTGTACCTGGATAAAAGTATCCAGCAGTAAACCATCCATGCTAAGCCCTGCTGTTGAGCACCCTTGACATTTTTCCAAAAGATTATTGGTCTACCACTTTCAAATTTATCCTTATACAAAGTCTTAAGACATGCTCAAAATGCAGACATTTTCTTTGCCAGAATGGAATACAAATAGCTATTAACCTGATTCCCAATGGGAGTCCTCTTTCTGATATTAAACCTCGTGAGCCTGGCCTTCACTGTACCAATTTCTGTCTATATTCTGGTCTTCAAGCCCCAGTCAGAATTGTTCAGTTGTTCTCTGCTTGTAGCATTCTCTAGCCTATCTCAGCAGACCTTTCCAAACTCCTTCCATAAACCCAATTTCTCACAATATCCTTCTGCCATCATAATATCCTTTCTGCTTTGGAGCCAGCTGACCATGAACTGAAATTCTGAAAATATGAGGAAAATTGAGCCTCTTCCCTCAAACATTGGTGTCTAGCATTTTGTACCAGCAAAGGGATTGCTAAAACCAGAAAATTGGTTCTGAGAAATAGGGTCATTGCTGTGTCTAACTGACCATATGATTCAGAAGTCTTTGCTTATGGGAGAAAGTTGGAAAGGTCTGCTAGGATATTCTGTGAATAAAATCTAAGCAAAGTTAGAGGATATGCCTGGCTTCTTGGGACTATGTATAGGAAAAATATGTGAAGAGGGAAACAAATTAAAGATGGAAATTACAATCAAAAGCAAGGCAGAACTTTAGAGTTGGAAAAATTCCCAGCTTATGAAAAATGCATGAAATTTTGTAACTGGAGAGAATACCAAGGACATGACCAAAGGAATCTTTGATATGATCAGTATGATCATAAAAAAGGCAGGTGCTATTTTAAAAACAGTGAAGAATTATTCTGACTTCATTTAGAGACTTCTCTGGCTACTACTTTTATCATAAACCCAGAGTGCCAGGTCTCTGAGGGAAGAATTTCTTCCAAAATGGAGCTCAGGGAAACCATGGGAACCTGGAATTTGCAGCCTAGCAGTAACTCAAATCTCTGTTCTTTAATTCTGGTGCAGTGTCCCTGGGCTGACCACCTGTGGCTGGTTATCTGGAATCTTAGAAGCGAAGCCTCTGCCCAGTGTGTCCGGCAGAGAGGACATATAGCCAGAGAAGATTATTCTCAACCTCCAGACTTAGTGTTTGCCTTGTTGCCCTTGTACTAACTGGGGAGCTGTTAACCTTTTACATCTTCTTATATCCCATTTTAGGATGGGAATGCCTACCCTCAGCTTTTCCTATGACTACATTTTAGAAACACAGAACTTACTTGATTTCATAGGCTCACAGTTGGAGTGGAATTTTCTTCAGAATGAATCATATCTTAAATCTTACCCGTATCTATTATATATGATACTTAGATGAGACCTTGCACTTCATAGTTGATGCTGAAGTGAGTTAAGATGTTTGGGACCATATGTCAGGAATGATCATGTTTTATAGGTAGGAAAGACAAGAATAAATATGCCTTCTCAATTTATATGTTGAAATCTAAAACCCAACATGAAATATGTGAGGTGCATCAAAATATGGGCATCTGTAATGAACAGATACTTCTCAGAGGAAGAAGTACAAACAGCAAATAAATATATGAAAAAAAATTCAACATTGCTGGTCATTAGAGACATACAAATTAAAACAATGCTGAGATTCCATCTCCAGGAAGAATGACTAATCAAGAAGTCAACCATAAAATAAGCTGCCTAGGCTGTGGGGAAAAAGGAGCCCTCCTCCACTGTTAGTGAGAGTGTAAATTGGGCCAACCACAGTGGAAATCAGTATGGAGATTCCTCAGAAAACTGAAACTAGAGATTCTGATTGACTCAGCCTTTCCCCCTTTTGGTATCTTCTCAAAAGAGTTAAAGCATCACACCACAGTGATACATGTGTATATGTGTATCATTGTTTATAGCAGCACAATTTGTAATAGCTAAATCTTAGAAACAGCCTAGATCCTCATCAACAGATGAATGGATAAAGAAAATGTGATTTTTTTTTTTAATACAATGAAGTACTACTCTGTCATAGAGAAAAATAAACTTCAGACATTTTTAGGTAAATGGATGCACCTTGAGATCATACTTCTAAGTGAAATAAATTGGACAATGAGTGTTTTAATACTGTGTTGCAGCTGGGTGTGGTGACATACGCCTGTAATCTCAGCCCTCAGGAGGCTGAGGCAGGAGGATCATTGTGAGTTCAAAATGAGCCTGGGCTACAAAGTGAGCTCAAGTCCAGCCTGAACTGCATAGTGAGACCCTGTCTCAAAAAAAAGACAAAAAAAAAAAAAAACAAAAAACTGCATTGTTTCTGTTGTGTGAGAAACCAAAAGAGTAAATAAGGACTAAAAAGGATGACACAGACCATCTCTACAGAATTCTCTTCTCAAAAATCAGAATGTAATTCCAGTACCATCATAATGCTTCCTTTCCACCCTTCCCCCTTAGTCAGGGGACACTCTCAAACCATGTCATAAACCACCACTCCCACTGAAATTACAAATTAAACCACATGCTTCAGTTACTGGGATTAATCTTCATTTAAAAGTTGATTTTCTATGTCGGATAGTTTTCATCAATGTGAATTCTGAACTAGGTGTTTGCCTTGTACTGGAATTCAAATGGGCTCTGATGATACTGTGCGGGTTTCTGCATAAATCTTCTTTGCAGAGTTGAAGTAAAGAAGACACTGTGGATCAGCTGTAGTTTACAGCCACCTAAGGAAAGGTATACGGTTCTACATGGGGAAAAGAGAGAAGAAATGGAAGTTAAAACATAGCTATCGCAGAGATGTCACTGCTTCTAAGTCCATATTGTGCTGATTTTGCCACTGTCAGCCAGTTTGGAATGACTCCCGTTTTCTAACTGGCTTAGCTAATGGCTTGAGATCCAGTTATGCCAGAACCTCTGCTTTACTTGGCGTGTTTCTTTCCTAGAGTAAAGCACAGGTAAGGCTTGTGGTTCCATTTCATCTTTGGAATGTGGCACCTGATGAGTTGTTTGAACTGCTGGGAAGTCGTGAGACTTGGCTTCTCCTCCACTGCTCCTGTCCTACAAGTGTTCCCCTTAACTGCCTCTGGGCTTTACTGGGGTTGTGAAGTGCTGTTAGCCTTCACACCTATGATAAGAATAGTGGCTATTGGAGTTCTGCTGAGGATGAGAGTCTCCCACAAGAGTTTATTTTCCATACTGGTCACACAAGTTTTAGTTCCCATCAACAGTGAAGAGTTCTTTTTTCCCCTCAGCTGCTCCAGTGTGGAGATTACTCAAAAAACTAGGATTAGAGATCCCATTCCACCCAGCTGTTCCCCTTGTGGGTATTTTTCCAGAATAATGAAAACATCATACCACAGTGATATATGTGCACCCATGTTTATAGCAGCACAATTTATCACAGATAAATCTTGGAAACAACCCCACTGCCCATCAACAGAGGAATGGGTAAAAAAAGATGTAGTATTTTATGCAATGGAATACTACTCAGCTATAAAGAAAGATGAATTTGAGACATTTGTAGGTAAATGAATACACCTGGAGACCATACTTATAAGTGAAATAAATCAGTCTCACATGTGTAAACATCATATTGTCTTCCGAGTGTGAGAGGCTCAAAGAGTAAAAAAGATCCAAAAGGTACAATAGATATTGTGAAATGGGAAGAAACTTCGAAAGGAAAGAGAAACTGGAGTAGGGAAAAGGAGAAAAGAAGGAAGGGAAAAAAAAAAATATATATATATACACACACAAGATAATTAAGATAGTTATACTACTAATTGCTATTAGCTCAGTGAAAGGAAAGGTATGTGCCTATATTGCTTGATCAATTTTCATGCCTGTATCTTGTAATATGAGCAACTACTTTGAAGATAACAACACACAATGTATTAACCATTGTCACTTTCCTACAATCTTGTTCTGAAATTTTATACCATTGTTTTTATTGTTTTTTCTTTTCTTTAAAATAAAATCAAAAAATTGTAAAAAGGAGTTTCTTTTCCAAGACTATTAGATTATAGAAGCTAAACATTTCATGTGTAAGTAATAGCTTCAAATATTATATCCATAATAAGAAAGCAAGTTTTTAAAACGAGAATTTCTTCAGGAGGGAGTCATCATTCCTTTGTTCACTGAAAATCTTTTAAAATTGGCTGTTTGTTTTTTTTATTCAGTATCACAATAATACTTATAATAGTAGATTATTTAATGGGAATATTTAAATGTAGTGTGAATTCCCAAAGAGAGAAAACACTTTACTTTTACTTAAAAATGTCTCTATTGAAAAATATTAGACCATACTGGCAAAGGAAATAAAAGCTGGCTATTTACAATCTTTTTAACACATGGTATTTTCAAAATGGAAAAAGCCTCTTGTATGAAATAAATTATAAATAAATTTCATAGAGTAGTTTGTTTTTATATTTATCTTTAGTGAGGCTTTAATTTTGGCACTAAAATTAAAAATAAGCCACAGATTATAATTCTCACCAGTTTTTATAGGAAAGTTCATTAATAAATGTAAAATCTACTGTACCCTTTTTCCAAATTCACAGTAAATATGCAAAAATGTGTATATACTGCAGACATAATCTCCACAATTTGAAAGCAAAATTGTACAGCCAAAGCTACAGGCATCACAGTTCCATTCACAAAGAGTGAATGATCTCAAAGAAAATAAAATCACTGTTTGACTTATACATAGCTCAAAGTGTAGACTTCAGATTTTCTGAGGCTGTTATGAATCCACAATTACATTCCTATTTTTTGTTTCTTATACTCACATTTTCAAAATATATGAAGTCCTAAATAAAGACAAAAATACAGAAATGAGTTTTTAGCAACACGACAGAAAATTTCCTCAATTCTCGGGTAGAGAAAGCTAAGAGAACAGATCACACAAAGTAACATTGCAGCTACACAAACTATTAAATATGGAAACCTGGGGAAAATCTATACAAACTCTTTCTTCACCTTTCCAGTTTAAAAGCGTTGAAATTCTTTAGTTTTACTTATCTGTTGATACCTCTACTTAATTTATTTAATTGCTTGGCAATTGCTCTAATATTGCTTTAGTATCTTTTTAATTTTTTCTTCTTCACTTTTTTGTGGTTCTTCTCCAGTTATATAACTTCTCCAGTGACCAGAAGTCCATTTACAAGTTTAGGTAATTTTTCAGGATAATGACACCCATGTCAGAGGAAGAATACAGTACAGAGAGCGCTTGTTTGATTCAGGATTATCAATTCTCTTATAAACTTCTCCACTATGCCCCAACTTGACTCACTCCATTGCTGTTTAACTAGAACCTTCCTTTACTGAGTTCTATTAAAGCCTATCGATTTTATTTTTCTCAAATCTATTGTGTTTGTTATCCTTCCCACAGTGATAATTCAACACTTTTGCCAATCACTTGCACTGTACTATTGCAATTTTACCTTTCTCCAATCCATTTCCCACATGCTCACCAGGATTTATCTTTCTAAAGTTTGGGTTTATACCTACTTTATTTTACCTAGATCCAAACCAACCATTTAATTCAATAATTTTCAATGAGCAAAATCATGTCTACAAAAGTTGCCTCATCTTTAAAAGTGCTTTTGAAATTAGTTTGAATTGACACATAAAAATCACATACATTTCATGGGTATTGCAATACATGCATACACACTGTGCAGTGTTTGAATCAGTTGAGCATATTTATCACCTTAAATGCTTATAATGTCTTTGTTGTGAAAATATTAGAGATTTTTTTGTTCTTTTTTTCAAACACAAAGTTCATTGTTGTTATGTATAGTTACTGGACTGTGCAATAGCACGTGAGAACGTATTTCTCTTTTCTCGCTCTATCCTTAAAGGTTCTTGAAAGAAGACCACAGTCATTTCTGAACAGTCCTCCACTTCTATCAAACCCATTTCCCATCACGCACCTTCCATAGTTTTTAATATGACCAATTGTTGTTCATCCATTACCTCACTCCCTAGGTTCATCCATCTTTTTTTGTCTTTTTGAGACAGGGTCTCCTTTTGCAGTTCAGGCTGGCCTTGAGCTCACTTTGTAGCCCAGGCTGGTCTTGAATTTGCAAGGATCCTCCTGCCTCAGCCTCCCAAGTGCTGGGATTACAGGCATGTGCCACCACTCCTGGCTGATTCATCCATCTTTTCTCATTACCATTATTCAAAAAGCAAACACTTGACATTAAGCTGTAGTATACAAAAAGAATTTAGTACATGTCCCTAAAACATATGGAGTATCTTATTTTTATATAATTTCATCTTAGTTAAAACCCCTAATAATTCCTTCCAACCCATCAAATAGTAAGTCACCGTTCAAATTTTCCGGAATGTTTCATAAATCAATTTTAAAGCAAATTTGTTATGCAAACATTGTTTGCTATTTGTCTTCCTAAGTCTCTCACTTCATTTTACTTTGCACTTTTATTTTCCTTGCAGCTTATTTATTGAAGGGACTGGGTTCTTTTTCTTGTGTATTTTTATGTTTTGATTACACCCACAAATCGGTGCTTAACATACTCCTCTAGTGTTTCAGACTTGGCTGAACAGTGCGATCACCTATGACCTCTGCCCTGATTTAAGGCTGGTACCCACCTGCAGGGACTCGGTATAATAGATTCTGGTGTGTGTGTGTGTGTGTGTGTGTGTGTGTGCGTGTGAAGTTACCCAAGTATTTCTACTGTGCAGTTAATGTTGAGCACCATTGCCGTTCCTGTAATTCTCAACTTTGGCTGCAAACTGGAATCGACTTCTGCTACACAACTTTCTCATTTATCTTCTGATTTAGTTGAACTGGGATATAGCTCAAGGTTTTATTTTTATTAGTGCATATGTTATGCAGTCTAGTGGGTTTCATTCTGGCATATTTGCACTTGCATGTAATATTCTTTGATCACTTTCTTCTCCCTTGCACCCCTTCCTTCCACTTTTTCTCATCTTCCCTTCTTCCCCTTATTTTCCTCTCCTCTCTTCCCCTCCCCTCCCCTCCTTTCTCCTCTCCTCCTCTCGCCTCTTTCTCTCTCCTCTCTTCCCTCTTCCTTTCCCTCATCCCTCTCCTCTCCTTCCCCAGCTCCCTCTCACCCTTCCTTTCTTTCTCCCTCCCTTTTCCAAATGAAAGAAATCATAGGACACCTGACTTTCTCAATCTGGCTTATCTCACTAAGCACAGTGGTATCTCGTTCCTGGAATGAGATTTTCCTGGAAAAGACATGATTTCATTCTTTTTTGGCACTTGGGTTTTTAAAAGTTTTCAATCACTGTTTCAACTTATTTCCTATAAACCTACAGACCTGGAGGCTTGATGTATATATACTCCTGTTGTAGTTCTACAGTAGATTTAATGGTAAATCAGAACAAAATATGTTTCTTTTTTTTTTTTCTTTTCACTTAAGCTCAGACTCAAAATTTTTCCCCAGATATTACTGTTGTGTTTTAAAATAAATGTTTTAGGAGAAGGAATTCTGCACAAAAAGATAAAGTCTTCTTGCCTTGTGAAAATACAGACTCCAAGCAGAAACTGGGTATCTAAATCTGGAGCATCAACAGCAAATGGAATTTCAGAACAAGGAATAAAAGGGAATCATTCTATAAAACAATCATTTCAGAGGGTCACTTTAGAATGCATAGCTTGCTGAATCTTTTCAAAATGGCTCTAGAAAAACTCTCTATGAAGCGAGATGTGTAACAATGGACTTACAATGAAGAGACACGCACAGAGCACCAGTGCCTTCGTTTTCACGTCAAGGTCAACATGAAACTTGATACTAAAGTTATCAGATTTTGTGAAGAGTTCTTGAATATAGCCAGACCAGTGCTTGGAAATCTTGCCAACTACAGATTTTTCATCAAATGATGTAACCTATATTAGAAAAATAAAGTCTGAAAGATGTCTAGAAAAGTTATATTAAATCTACTTTCAATGTTAAAATAAAATTTAAAAACATAGTTTTAAAATTATGCCCATATGTAACTATGACCAGCAATTCTTATTCCATATATATATGGAATTAGTTTTGCTGAAATTAGTGAAATTAGTTTTGCTGAAATAGTTAACATTTTCTATTTTACACTAAAATAGACAATACTAAATTATTTTATTTATCTATATAATTTTAAAATTTTATTATTTTTTAACAAATTATTTTAAATGATTCAAAGCAAAATCTAAGAAGCAAAAGGTAAATTTACAATATTTCTTTGATAAAGTTTCTAGAAGCCACCAGAAAGATAATAGACAAAATATTTATTATATTTCTATTTAGAAGAAGTATAGAGAGCTTACATACATGGCAAGTTTCAAGTGGATGGAGGGAACACTACACTAACTGCCAGAGGGAAACTAAGAGCATAAAAAAGAATATCATCAGTTTTTAGCAAAGGAAATAACCAATAAACAACTTGATGTTTCTGGGTCAGTGGTTGGGAAAACCTGGCTATCTAATGGGTTGAAATAGTAAAAAAAGAAAGATGTATGAACAAAGGTGTCCGAAACACAGTCCCAAGACAAAATGTTTTGGGCTTTGTAGTTCTGACAGAGAAGAGTTCAGGGCCATTATACAGAGCAGAACAGACTGTACACACACTAAGGCCTTGCTTCAATTGGTCAGGCAGGGATTGAGCATAGCCAACATCATCATGCTAAGTGCACATAGCATTGTGTTAAGTGTGGAGGAGGTGTATCCTTGTCAAATGTGCACAAGGTAACGCATATGCTAGTAACACCTCTGTTAGCCTGGGGAGCACTGAATAAATGTCAGGAAACAAAATTCTGACTCATTTCATTTGGAAGGACATATATAATAAGATCTTAAAAACTCTGAAATATATTTCTAATATGAATTTGTAATGACATGGATTACTACCTATCAAATATTCACTTAATCCCCTATGATATTGTAGGCCCAGTATACTTTCTGCTCATTCAAGACTGGATGTGGTCACATGACTTGTCAAAGGTAAAAGCAAGTGACATGAATACTGTTCTTCAACATGGCCAATTTTATTGATGTGGCTCTTGCTGCCTAGTGGAAAACTACTAGAAAATTATCTCCTAATTAGTTGCTGTTGTTATAATCCTAGAATACGCACACTCAGGTGAGACTGGAGGCCCGTCTGCAGTCTAAGTCTGAGCCATCTAACTATGCCTAGGGGTACCCTCTGAAATAAAGTAGACCTGCAGGCTCTTACACATGAGTATAAAGGCTTCTTGCTTTAAACCAGTGAGTTTCAATGGTTATGTGACATGTGACAGTATCATGGTAAACTACACTAATACAAATCCTCTCTTACACATGTCAGCATGTTATCTGAAATTGCTGACAATTAAAATCTTAAAAGTATTAATGGAAACTTTACATTTAAAATTTTAATTTTTGTATAGTTTTTAAAATGAAAATTTCAGGTAATAAATTGCTCACCATCATGAACCCAACATTACGTTGGTAGAAATATTGATAGTTAATTTTCTGATCACTACTGTAATAAGTAAAAGTTTGCCAAATATTTTTCCAGAAGGAGAAAATGTAAATTTTTTTGTCAAGGATCAGAAATGTAAATAATGAACTGCACTCAAAATTCATCAAAACTAGAAATGTTTTAGCTGCATTCTTAATAACATTTAAAAGTGTGATGGCCTTATCATAAAATTTTAACCTCTGGAAATAATAAATTGATAATTTATTAATGTTAATATTTTTTGCAATAATGGAAATTATTATGGACCTAGGACCATACACATTCTACTACTGAAGGACATCCCTAGCACTTACTGTTAAATTTATTAATTTATAAATGAAATGATTCAATACCAAGAGCTGATAAATAATATTCTAAAAAGTCTTTAGAATCAGTTCAGTTTATATATAAATATAAATATTGAAACAAAGCAGTAGGGGCTGGGGATTTAGCTCAGCAACACAGAGCCTGCCTGGCCAGTGCAAGGTCATGAGTTTGATTCCTGGCACCAGAAAAAAGAACAAAAATAAAACAAAAAAAAAAAAAAAAAGAAGAAACAAAGCAGTAGCACATATAACCTAGGTATATATCAAAAGAATATAATGAAATATAATATATGACTTTTAAAATGGTTATTGATATTTTATTTCCAAATAAAGCACTTATATAACACTTAGTATATTCATATCATGTAAAGATGTTGCAATTATTAAAATTTTAACCCTAATAACAAAGATATGAATACAAACTTCAAGCATAAATACAGGACTGCTTTGGGATATCAATTTCAAATGGGCAAAGTTTTTTCCTTACTAAAATCCCTGAAAGGAGAAAGACTCACTTACAGATACAGATTGAAGGCCTACTTGGCTTCCTCTTATTCATCCTTAGGAAATTATCTCACAACTATTATACATAAGAAAATTCCATAAATTTCTTATTACATGACTAGGATCCAATATGACTGAATTACAAATTCCTTCCCTATATCAATTGCTTACCCCTAAAATTCTTAACTTGGTCAATAATATCATTATTTAGGTTCTCAGATATGTGACATCAGAGTGATCAAGCATGATAATTATTTCCAGATTTTCTTTCCTCTTCAGCTGAGATCAAATGAATGAATAAGTCCCCCTGGTACACTGAAATATCTCTTAAATTCTCCCTTTAGAGCCCACTTTTGCTGTGGTTGAGGGTTTCACATCTTCTTTTACTAGAAGTTCCCATGTCCATGAGTAGAGTGCATCATAGTGATAATTTGTGTTTTAAAATGTCAACCTTTCCATCATAAATGCTGCACAAAATGAGTCATGAAACCTTCTCAGGACTGTCAGATATGGTGCCTAGGTAATATCATTCTACATGCAGAAGAAAGAAATGATATCACTACAGATAGATGATGCTGTATTTCTTACCTTTCTTGTCTCTGGGACAACCCCGCCACAAAGAGCTTAAAGAAGGGGAGATTTATCTTGACTCATAGTTACAGAGGGTTCAGTCTATAACCAGTTGGCTCCAAAGCAGAAATGGCAAAGCAGGAAAGAGGAAAGGCAGAGGAAAGCTGCCTAATCCATGGCAGCAAGGAAGCACACAGTAGGGAGACCGAAGGAGATAGCCTCTTTAAGCATGATTCTAGTGAGCCACCTCTTCTCACTGGGCCCCACATCCTAGGGGCACATTCAGCTATGAATGCATCAATGAATTCATTAACTGATGGCTATGGGACCCCCGTAACCCTGTCATCTTCAGAAAGCCCAACATCTTAACATGTGGGGTATTTCGAGGACAGTTCAGATCTAAATCATAAAGGATGCTAAGACATACACTGCAAAAGTTTGCTAGATGGGAATTAATTTCTAAACATTAAATACAAAATCTTTCCCAAAGCTTTTGCTTATTTCCTAAAAATAAATCATGTCATCTAAATTTCTGATAATATTCTTCTTCAAAGGAGTATTATTTTCTTCAAATATTGAAAGTAACTATCATGGTTTATGTCTGGCTGTCCCCCTAGATCCTCATGCAGTCATGGGACTGGCTTTTAGAGTTTATGATTGATCAATGGTCCAATGCTGGGGTTATGGGTGTGAGTACACTTGCCCTGGAGTGGATAGTTTGCATATGTAAGGGAGAGAAAGAGGCTGCTTCCTGCCACTACTGCCTTTTGCTCTTGTTGCTTTGTTGTTTTACACTGCCATGAACAGTTGCCCTCTGCCATGTGCCACTCTGCCTTGGAGCCAGCTGAGTATGGACTGAAACCTCCACAAACTGTAAGCTAAATAAACTTTTTCTTCCTTAATTTTAGGTGTCAGGTATTTTGTCTCAGCAATGACAGAAAAGTAACTAAGGACAGTAACTGATTTTTAAACTTTTCCAGATTTAAGACAGGTATGCCTTTCCCTACATGCAGAATTGTACACACCTTCAGAGTGTATACACATACATATTACTCTGTACACCACATGTATTTTCTTAAAACTATCTCTTTTAAAATATGTCATCTATAAGGGGAAGTATTCATCTGCATATAGCCAGATTCTAACAGAAAAATCAAAGTTCATATAAAGGGTAAACAGGTAGATGATGTGATAGAATAAAGCTGGATAGTGAAAAAAACCTCAGGAAGATGTGGAGAGATTGCCATAATACCTATATCTTTCCAAAAAGGTAGCTTTACTCAGCTTTAGGATATTTCTTTTTCTTCTGTGGAAAGGTGGGTACAATTTATCAGATTGTATGATTTTTCAGGAGAAACAAGATATAAAGATTAAGTTATAAAATATTCCTATCTTTAGATATTTACAACTAAAACTGTGGGGTTTACTAGATTGGGGCATCTATTAGAAAACTTCATAACAAGATTCTTCTATGTAGTAAATAGATATATTCATTAAAATGCACTAACAATACAAAGATAAAGCACAGAAGACAGAGAAGAATAATTGGGTAGTTCTCCCACATCCTTCCATCTCTGGTGGGGGCCTGAAACTGCATATAGTATTGAACTCTATGCTTTTTTCTATAAATACATACCTTTGACAAGGTTTAATGTATAAATAAGCACAGAAAAAGACCAGGAAAAATTACTAACCATTAACCAGAGAAATTGCATATACTATACTACTCTCTCAAAGTATCTATTGTACTGTACTCAGAGTTTTTCTGATGATATGACACTATATAATGCCTGTGTGATAAGGTGAAAGGAAGTACTTCAGGTAAGGCTTGTGCTTCAGTGTTAAGGATTATTGGAACACTAGTGGTAAGGTATCACTGTAGTTGATCCAAAAACCGACTTTTACCAAGAATGTTACCTAACTGACTAACCTCATGAGCCGGCAGCATATCTATTATGCTGGGAAAAGGGATGACTCACATTCAGACAGAAGGAACAATCTAGGGCAAAAGATTCAATCACAGAACTCAGGATGGCACATGATTTGAAATTTAATAAATTGTTCATTTCTGGAATTTTCCATACTATATTTTCAGACTCGCATACTATCCTTTTCCATTGCAACAATTTATATATAACTGAAGCTAGGGAAGAACTGTAGAAGAAGTTAATTTTGGATTAACCTTGTATTAGTCAGCTTTCTCATTGCTGGGACAGAATATTGGCCACCTCTGATTTAAAGGAGGTGGAGTTTAATTTAGCTCAAGGCTTTAGGAGATATACTATATGGTCCATAGGCTGCAAAGTAGGAACATTGTGCTTCATTCATGGTGGCCAGGAAGCACACCATGGGAATAGTACCAGACAAGAAGGTGCAAGATACTAGAAGTAGACTTTAAGACCACGTTTATTTGACCCACTTAGGAATACCCAGAAGAGTGCTCCATCAATACCCTGGGGAAAGACCTTAAAACCAATCAATTAAAGCCAACCTAACCACCACATGCTACCCCCTGTCAATCTTATATCCAAATACATATGATGAAATCATACTTAATCCCATATTAAATAGAATACCAAGTTCATAACTCTGCCAACATAAACCAACTATCCTGCATACCCACATACAACCAGAAATTCAGTAGCCTTTCAAACCCTCAACAGTTCTAGCCTTTTTCAAAAGTTGCAGTCAACTTATGTTCTGAGACTCAAGGCAAACTCTTAGCTGTGAATCTCTGTTAAAAATCACAAACTAATTATATAATCCAAGGTACAAAGGGGGGTAGTTAATACTCTCCTTTGAAAAGGGGGGACTAGGAGGTTAGAATTTGACCAAAGAAATACTGAATGAAACCCAGTAGGGCAAATATTAAGTCTTGTAGCTCCATGTTCCATATCTGGGACACATGGTGGGGAGATGTCCATTGCAGAAGGGTTGGGCAGACCTACCCCTATGCTGTTTTAAGCTCACATAGCCTCTCTCTGAAGCTAGCCCTATTCTCAGTATGAATTTTCTATAAAAGTTATCTTTCTTGTTGCAGGAACACAATACATGACCCCCACAGTTTAAAGGAAGAGACATTTAATTTGGCTCATAGTTACAGGAAATTTAATACATGGTGTATTATTGGATCCAAGACAAGAACATCTTGGTGGAAGGGTGTAATGAAGAAAAAATGCTTTGTTCATGGCAGCTGGGATGCAGAGTGGAGGAACAGTGCCAGATAGGAAGTGGTGAGGGAGCATTTATAGACCCCAAGGTAATGCTTCCATGACCCACACAGACACACTGAGAGTGTGCTCCACAAATTCCCCAGAGCAGATCCCGAAGCCAGTCAAGTAGACACTCCACCTTAACCACCACAACTTTACTAAAGCTTTGAGATATTGGGCTTTTTGTGGGAAATAAGGATGTCAGACCTTCTGAATGACCTAGAGTACCTATAGTTGGAATGCAGATGAAGGAAGAATACATAAACTTGAGCAACCAGAATTTGGTGAACAAATTACTGCTCTATTTTTTTCCTTTGTTTTCAATTTTTTAATTAATTTTACTTTGAAATGAATCTGATATGTAGTCGAGGCTGGTTTTGGATTTGCAATAATCCTGCCTCAACCTCCTAAGTGCTGGTAAGATGGAGTGTCATCATAGAGAAATCACCATTTTTAAGTTTTAGATGTGTAAGTGTTAGACATCTAGTTTCTATATATTTATGTACATAGCTGAGCTTTCAAAAATTTTTCCATTTAGCCTAATCAATACTAATTTTTAATTAGAATAGTGACCATTACTCTGAATAAAGTTAAATTATTAACCTTAGTTAAATAAGTTAACCCTAAAGCACATCGTCTCTCTTTGAAATATCAGTGGGAAATACTTAATGTATTTGTAACATTATGCAAAATTATATACTTCATATATCAGGAAAGTAGATCTTATTAACATCATGACATTTCTTACCTCAAAATCAAAATCTGTACAAAATCTCCAACTAACACAAAAGCCAATAATTTTTAGTACATCTTCTCTCTTCTCATTTTGAACAATAATGTTTTTATCACAGAAGTGGCACTCCTGACTCACATAACCTATTGGAACACCAGGAGGAGCTTGGATTTCTATCTACAACAGCAAAGGGACATAAATAAATGCAATCGTAATTATAATATATATCCTCAGCAAAAATTCTGCCTGAAGAACTTTACAAACATCCCTGAGAATTGTACACTGACCTGCTGAAGGCAACTTGGGAAACAACAACTGGTACATCTCAGTGATCTGTCCACAGTTAGGACTTCTCGGCCCAAATTATCATGAATTTTCAAGGTAAAAAGCCTGTTTCTTCCACAGCAAATTCGCCATGCCCAAGAAGTATCCTCTGCTGCAAAGTAAACTCTCTGTCCAAGATTGTTCTTAATTTCATATTTGTTATTACATTCATAGCCTGTTAAGACTAAAAACATAAAGGGAATTCATAAACATCATTTTGTTTAGAGCAGTGAATCTCTCCTATATTATATGTTATAACATCTAGCTGTACGAGCTTTGGATAATATTTGGAAGCAGCCCAAGAAAGAGAAAAAGGAAAGGTGTTTAGATGTGATCTAGACTCAGAAAAAAGGCCATGAGAAAAGAGAGTCATAAGGCAATAAGATTATTCCAGTAAGAAAAATTAAGCCCTGATGTAAACTGTGAAAAACAATTCATGTTCCCTTATTCCATAGGCTGTCACATAGAAAGGCTTTGCTGCGGAGGACTTCTGTAGTGCTGTAGATGGTCTCCATGGTGCCTGGTATAGTGCTAAAATGCCCACTTTTGGTCCAGTGTCCATGTATTACGGAAGAGTTATGGAAGTATGGCTAAGTTTATATTCTATGAAATCTTGTATTAAATGAATTGGCTTGTGGTATTTTAGAAACCATATTTTGGTCTTATTTTTTGTACCGTGTTTGAGTAAGGTAATAAGGTTTTACTCTCAATGCATACATATGACAAGAAAGAGAGCGAAAGTGGAAAGGTAATCAGAACATCATATCGGGGCCAGAGCACTGTCACTGAGCTCAGCTGTAGTTGTAGGTGGGAGATGGGTGCTAGTCCAAGGGGAAGGTGTCCGGGAATCACAGCTTCAACTCATGGACGACACAGGCCACAGGTATCCTAAGAGATCTCCACACCTTTCTGGGGCTCTTATCTTTGTTGAGGAAACAGAATGATGCTAAGTGCTGAAATATATCTTACCAAGGGCTTCCCATAGTAACTAACAACCTAGAAACTCTACAGTTTTACAGCTAGAACCTAGCAATTAATATTTAAACTTGGTGCATAGCCTTCAGATACTAGATTTAGAATTTATCAGCTGACTTACCAAAATAACAAGAGCTTAAAAGAAAGGAGGCATAAACCACACTGTACATATATGTATATGGAGGAAATTTTAATCTGGTAGGGAAGGCCTGCAGGGGTCCTGTCATCATAAACTCTCTTAAACACCTTTGGTGAGATTTAGACAGACATGAGCTTGGCAGTTAAAAGGATGACCCTTGACCTCAACACCTATCATATAGTTGGGGAAAAAAAATAAACTGGTTTTGAAAGTATTTATTATTGAAGTGATTATTTCATAAAGTTTAATCTGAGGAAATTTCACCTCCTTCATTTTTAATACAGTATGGGTAATGTAATCTCTACACTTTATTTTGGGTACTTAAAAAGTGAAAACAAAGCCAAAGAATTCCATATTTATGTCTTTCGGGTACATTGTTTTGAATTGAGAAAAAAATGTAAGTGTGTGCTATATGCTCAGATTGTATATAATCTTGAGTAACCTTCATCTTCTTTATACTATTTATAGTATGAAAAAAGTAGTATAGACTTTAAATTTGGGGGAAACAGGAACAAGAAAATTTAGGACATCTCTTTTAAAAAATGGAGAATTAAATAATACTAACTGAAGATTACTTATAATTCATGACAAAGAAACACATATTTCACATTTACAAAGTCTATAAATCTAAAGAGATACTTGATCTGCTGTATAATATATGATACCTGGCTACTTGGATTTTATGACATAAATAGCATTTATCATAGAATTAATCATATTCAAATATTTGGATTACAAATGATCAAATAATGGCCTCGTTTCCAAAGAATTGCTAGTTTACAGAAGCTAAACAAAATCAACAACTCTATACATGCTCAATCATTTATATTATAAATAATGTAAATATAATGCATAACCATTGTAAAGCAAAAGTCTCTTCCTCAGTTTGTACCATTTATGTTCTAATTTCCATCAGTCGAAAGGAACTTCCAAACAGATGAAGATGGTTTTAACAGATATAGTCCGCAAAGCAGAAGAGTTTTTATTACACTCTTACATCTAAGGAAAGACACTATGGTTCATAAATCTACACAGATCTTTTTTTTTGTTTTGTTTTTCTCCGGTACCGGGAACCGAACTCATGACCTTGCGCTTGCCAGGGAGGCGCTTTGCTGCTGAGCTAAATCCCCAGCCCCTATACACAGATCTATTTCCCTGGCAGCTTCCTAAGGTTATTTTTGCACCTGGAATTACATACAGGCTCACTCAGAGGAGCAGTAGTGCTCTCATAAAAAGGTGATCTCCAGGCTTCAAACCACCACCATCTTCTAATCCTGCAAAGCCTCTCATTCTGACTGAGCTAGTAGTCTTCAGCTCATGCAATGAACATTTTACAGGGTTCATCTGAACTCCTATGAGAAAATGTCAGTGTCTTGGTTACTTTCCTCTTGTTGCTGGAACAAAATACCTGACGCCCAAAATTAAGGAAGGAAAGGTTTATTTTGTTTACAGTTTATGGAGGTTTCAGTTCATACTTGGCAGGTTACAAGGCAGAGTGGCACATGCAGAGGGCTACAGCTCATGGTGACAGAACACAGCAAAAGCAACAAGTATACAAGGAAGGAATGGGGGAGGAATGGCACCAAGCAGCCATGTATTGTTTTCATTGTTTTGTTTATGTCTTTGTTTTTGTTATTTGGTTTTTGTTCTTTTCTCTTTAAGATAAAAAAGTTCAATCTCTGGAAATTTACTAAGGTAGTTAAACTAGTTCATGTGGTTTTATGTTGTTTCCAAGATGACCACAAAGTAGAAATCCAAAGCTAAAAATGGTGGAAGTCAGGTAAAGTGATAGAATAATTCTAAATGATTTGCAGAGAGGGAGAAAAGAAAAAGCAAGCTTAGATGGTTTTTGTTTTAAGCTAATGTCAGTATTTTGAGAATACATGCTCGGTATAAGTATTTTAGAATTTGACTCCACATTTTCAGAAATAAATTGCTGATAATGTTTACATTTTTTGTTTTTGTGAAGACAGATATTTGTTAACTGTCCCACATGAATTACAGTGTTATATTTTTGGTGGTTAATATTTCCTTGTCTGTATAAACATTTTCTTTTTTTCTAAAAGGATCATCAATACACTGAGTACGTACTTTCCAGAATTTTAATTTGCTGGTGAATCAGAATCAAATCTGCCTATTAAAAGAAAAAGAAAATTGAGTTCATATAATCAATTATTAATACTTAACATTATCAATATTTAATGTTGTATTAGGCTTTAGTGAAAAATTAAATTTAACACTTTAATAGATCAAATATTTATTAAACATTTTCACTTAATGTAAGAAAATTTAAATCAATAAAACTAATTTGCACTGGAATTCATACAACAATGTGCTTTCTAGTAGAGGCTCAAGAAATGTTCATAACTTTTTTTATTCAATTAGAAAGATTTCTATTGTAGTAGGTGATAATTTCCTTTAAGTACTGTATGAGATCCTGATTTTGAAAATGTGTGTTTCAAAGTATTTTTCAAAGAATATCATTATGGCTAAAATTGTTGTATTTTATCTTGTTTCAGTGAAAAAAATAAGTCAGTAGAGTATACCGAAGGCCACCTGATTTATTAAAAACAAGTTAATATCACAAAACTTTTGCTTTGGGCCAGGAATATAGCTCAGTGGAAATGTGGCTGCCTGGAAAGCACCAGGTCCTGAGTTTGATTCCCGGCACCAAAAAAAAAAAAAACAAAAAAACTTTGCTTATATGTTTACAGATTGGGTATACAGAACTTTATATCATATTTTATCTACTTCATTTCTCACACCAAATAAATGTTAAACTTCACATGCAAAAATTCACTACCATTTGGTATAGCAAAAGAGTAGTCTTCACTCCTCCTTATGTTTGGTATTTACAAAATTTAATGTTCTAAAGAAAAAAGCAATATTATAAATATATCATTTTATTGGTTATTAAAATGTGTCAATTTGTACATAAATATTCACTGTTTAGTGGGTATCACTAATTGAGCTTAACTGATGAATTCCTTTTAAATTTCTAGAAAACTATTAAGTTTTGGGAGGGAAGCACTGGGTTCAGTTCCACAGTCCAGATTAAAAATCCATTCTCACTCTGAGAGTTTCGAGCCTGGGTGAGATATGTAAAGTCTGAAAAATGGTGATAATTAAATTCAGAGATTTTATGCAAGGTATATATAGGATAATATAGTACTGTGCTCATGACAAAAACTGGATAATGGTGCTTAATGAATATTCTCTATTGCCTATTATCACAAATTGAAATAAAAATAATAAAAACCACAACTGTCTCCTACATTTGCAATTGGCTTAAAAAATGAATTTGACCTAGAAGAATTAGAGCAATCTGTTAGCAGATAATGTTCTTCTACCACTTCAGATAGTGATAACTTATTCCTGTGTTATTCTAGTTAAGTACATTGGAAGCACAGTTGTGTCATTTATAAGTGTTTTATGTATTTGACATTACCTGACTCAAATATTCCAGTCCGGGTGGGCCATTCGGTGGAGATAGTGGTGCTGGCATCCATGGTATTTCTCTAAGTAGATTTGGACAATTACACTTTGGCTGTGTTTGGACAGGAAAACTGGCTGGGATAGCATCTGGAGAGCTAGCTTCTGGGGCTGTGGAGCCAGCTTGGGAACTCTGGTAAGCACCCTGGGGGTCAAGGTTACCAGCAGGGGGACCTTGATAAGCATCACTGAGACCAGTGCAGCCAGTCTGGGAACCTAAATGTGTAGACTGGGGCCCAGAGTCCTCAGGCTGGGGAACTTCACCGGCATTCTGGGAACTGGAGCAGTCAGTATTTCTTGGAGACGCTGAAAAAGAACAAGTGAAATAAATCTGGTGTTACTGGGATTAAATATGTATCCCTCTTAACTTGGCTTGCTTGGGGTTTTCTCTCATGCTGCATTCCTATCCTACATCTCTTACCCATTAAAGAAACTGATATGATATTTAGCTTAGAAATTTTAGTTTCAAAATTCAACAACCTATGTTTCCTGGAAAACAAATTTGACAAGCAAGGGAGGAAAATATTATGAGTCAAAAATGTTTCATGGTTAATAAGCAGAGTAGAGAAAAAATTTAGTAAGTGTACGCTTTATATTTCTCTGTAAATGTGAAAATACAATTAAGCTTCATAAGTTTATTTACAGAGTGGTGATTTCATAGGAATGAAATACATTTAAGAGGACTGTTCCACCAATATTTTAACATTGAAAATCATGCAAAATTTAAATTTAAAGTAAAAAAGGTAAACATTATGTACCATAAACATGTATTAATGAAAATGGAAACATTTAAAATAGGCAGCATATACTCTTAAATGGGAGAAATCTGATAAAATGCATATACCATTCAAAACTAAGGCTAATAGCAGATTGACCTGTACACTAATGCTTTTTCAGTAGCTTTTTCAAATTTATTTCTTGTACAATGAATAAATATTTATAATGATAAATATACCAATGGTTCTTATAGAATTGGGGGTTACAACTATTAACACGGTTACCTTCTATCATTGGGCTCATAGTCAAATCTGGAAGACAAAGAAACAAAATAGTACATATCAGTGTGATGGAGAAAATACATGAGGGAGATCACTGGATTTAAAGCAGTAATTTTATTGGTTTGTTTGTTTATTTATTTATTTACTTTTTGTCTTTTTGAGGCAGGGTCTCACTATGCAGTTCAGGCTGGCCTTGAGCTCACTTTGTAGCCCAGGCTGGTCTTGAACTTGCAATGATCCTGCTGCTTCAGCCTCCCAAATGCTGGGATTACAGGCATGTGCCACTACACCTAGCTTCTCTCTCTCTCTCTCTCTCTCTCTTGCCTTCTGACCACCACAGCAACGTTCCTTTACCATGCTCCTGCTGCTGTGGTGCTCTGTCTTGCCCCAATACCAAGAAATAGAAGCAGTGGACCAGGAACTGGAACCATTGAAGCCAAAAGCCCAAGCATTTCTTTCTCTCTGAAGCTGAGTTTCTTAGGTGTTTTGCCACAGGAACTGAACAGTAACTAACACAGAACGGGAGAGCAAGAGAGTAAGAAGTGCTTCCCTGATTCCCCTCAGCTGAGATCTGATCTGAAGACTACAAAGGAGTTGAAAAGACCAAGAGCAAAGAACATTTCACACAAAAATCCTATTTTGGTGATATACACAGGCCTTATCACATTTGAAAACTGTCCAGTCAAGTTGAACTGTAGCAAGTCAACCTTTAGAAGCAGTTAAAGGTTGAAGCAGTTAACGGAAGCACACCTTTGGCAGGTGGAGTGACCACCAAGACACTAAGCCAGGTAGACCCTGGAAGAATGTGGGTGCACCCACATTCTTACTACATTAGGAGTAATGAGCAGTATGCAGTGAGACTAATGACATCAAAGTGTCTGAAGCAGCAGCAAGGAGCCAGCAATTGGGCTCTGGAGAACTCCATCAACAGAAGACCAGTCCACGCCCCCACATCCAGAGGCCAAGATGAGCTCCACACCAAGCAGAAATCCTGCGGCAAATTTGGAGTACACAGCACATTTCTGGGATCTTATTGGATACTATAACAGAACTCTGAACACCAGAGGTAGTTTACTACTTCTGTTCTCTTTTGTTTGTCTGACTGGCTATTCTTTTCCTGTCTCGTTAGATTTCATCTTGTTTTGTTTTGCAATTTGGAGTTATTTTTGGTTTTAGGTGTTTTCTTTTTTCTCCTTGTTTTTCTGGTCTCCTTTTACTTTTCTTTTCTTTTTTCTTCTTTCTTCCTTCTTTTCTTACTGTTTACCTTTCTTTCTTTTTTTTCTTTTTCCAGTACCGGGAATCGAACTCATGACCTCACACTTGCCAGGCAAGTGCTGTGCCACTGAGCTAAATCTCCAGCCCCCTGTTTATCTTTCTTACCTTTCTTTTTTATTTTCTTTTTCTGAAACTCCCTTTTTCCTCCACTATCTCTTGCATTTATATTTTCAAGTGAGTACACATTGTCTCCTCCCTTTGTAATTACCCTTGCACTTTCTCTTTCATTCTTTCCCTCTTGTGTGCTCCAGTTTCCCAAAACTAGGGTGATCATTCTTGACCTCCAGCATTGATTCTACTATATTTTACCTCATTCATCAGTTTATCCTGTCCCTACATATCTTAACCCTTTCAGCCACCACAAAAGGGTAAAATTAGCCCTATAGGAGAAAATTATTACATATAAGTACATGGTATATGTTTAATTTTGTTGCATAACTTTAGAGTGTACACCTGTGGTTAAGGGTATTGGGTTAACAGTTACCATAATTTGTCAGTAGCTAAGCTGTACTTGAAACTATTGTTATTACTAACTGTATTACTTTACTTTTTGTGTACGTGTTTTTGAGACAGGGTCTCACTATGCAGTTCAGGCTGGCCTTGAGCTCACTTTGTAGCCCAAACTCAAACTCACAGCCATCCTCTTGCCTCAGCCTCCTGAGTATTGGAATTACAGGCATGAGCCACCATGCCTGGTTTAAGTGTACTACTTTGGTCAGGATGTCATACCTATTATAATCAGTTTTTCTCCCTTGTAGGATAACACTGTGATTGTATGGGATCATAATCATCAGCATAATCCATTACCAAAGGACTGGGTGCTGAGCTAAATACTAACTCTGCATCTATTACAAACTGGGAAGGCAGGTTGTTAGGAAGCTATAAAGAACCACCTATATCTAGAAGTCATTCCTGAAGAACAGAAACCACTTAGGGAAGCCTCAAAACTAGTGATAAAGCTATCTACCATAAGAAATCAGCAAGCACCAACACAGAAAACAAAATAAATTAGAAAATAGAAAATGAAAAGAAACAGAAGCAAAATGCAAGCCTAGGATCCCAAGCCTACTCAAGACAAGCCCATGGCACAATAAGATAGAGGAAATTGGAAGTCAAATACTGGAACTTTCTGAAATGATAGCAAGAAAAGTGAAAAAAAACAAGTGAAAAACCCTATAAAAAATAATCTCTCAGGTACAAAAAGAAATGATGCTTAAACTCAAGATATTAAAGTAGACACAGATGAAAGAATAGATAACTTTAGGAAAATGATGGAAACCACAAATGCTCAACATAGGAAAGCAATGGAATCCATGAAACCAATCCAACAGAAATACAAGAGAATAAAACCTCCACTGAAAGTGGAGGTTTTACAACAGATTGAACAACAGAGAGGATAGAATATCAGATCTTGAAGACAGAATTTCAATTAGTGATCCTGAAAAGAAAGATATCTTAAAAATAGTAAGAGACCATGAAAAAGTAATCCAACAGCTACATGATGAAGCAAAGAAAAATAAAAGAAGATTGATTGGGTCAGTGAGAAAGCTGGAGACAGCACAAATAACATATAACTCTTTACAAAATAATGGTAGAGAACTTCCCAAACATGCATAAAGAATTTGACAAATAAATGAAGCATATGGAACTCCAAACAACCATGACCAAAACAAAACTACACCAAGACATATAATAATGAAGATTCCAGAAATTCAGCACAAGGACAAAATATTAGAGATTTAGAGAAAAGAAACGAATCCTAAAAAGGAAAGCTCCTCAAAATCATAGCAGGCTCCTCAACACAAATCTTCAAATCAAGGAGAGCCTGGAGTGAGGTATTTTAAGCCCTAAAAGAAAACAACCTCCCACCCATACTGATGTACCCTGCAAAATTGAAATTGAAAATATAATTAAACCCTACCCATGAAGAAAAGCTCAGGCCCAGGTGTATTATCTGTTGAATTCTATAAGACATTTAGAGAGACCTAATGCCACTAATGTGAAACTCTTCAATGAGATTGAAAGGGAAGCAACACTGCAAAAATCATTCCTGGAAGCAAGTAGTATCTGATATCTAAGGCAGAGAAGGACCCAACCAGAGAAGAAAACTACAGACCAATCTCCCTAATGAATATAGATACAAAAGTCCTTTATACAATACTGGCAAACAGAATGCAGCAAATCATCAAGAAGACTATATACCATGATCAAGTAGGATTCATCCCAGGGATGCAGGGATGGTTCAACATATGCCAATCAATAAATGTAACACACCATATCTATATAGCCAAAGACAAAAATCACATGATCATCTCAATAGAGGCAGACAAACATTTGACAAAGTCCAACAACCACTCATTATAAAAACCCTACAGAAAATTGGAACAGATGGTCTTTATCTCAATGTGATAAGAGTGATCTATAATAAACTAACAGCTAACATCACACTAAATTGTTAAAAACTGAAAGCTTACACTCTAAAATCAGGAACAAGATAAGGATTTCCACTATCACCACTCCTATTCAATATAGTTCTGGAAACATTTACCAGAACAATTAGACAAGAGAAAAATAAAAGAAATAAGTATAGGAAAGGAAGAAGTTAAATTATGGTTACTGGCAGATGACATGATACTATACACAGAAGACCCAAAACTTCCAGCAAAACACTTCTAGATTTAATAACTAAATTCAGTAGCATAGCTGGATACAAAGTCAACACTCAGAAATCAATAACAATCCTGTACACAAGAAACAAACGAGAGACAAATTAAGGAAACAGCATCCAAAAAATGAAATACTGATGCATCAATCTAACAAAAGAAGTAAAAGATCTCATTGAAAATTACAGTAACTTAAAAAAAAAGATTGAAGATTGTATCAGAAAATGGAAAGGTATCACTTGCTCATGGACAAAAAGAAACAAAACAGTAGAAATGGTCATACTCCCAAAGCTGTTTTACAATTTTAGTGCAATTCCAATAAAAATACCATTAGCATAACTCATGGAACTAGAACAAACATTCCTAAAATTCATTTGGAATCAGAAGAGACCAAGATTAGCAAAAGCAATTCTGAGCAACAAAAGAAAATCAGGGGGCATCAAATTCCTGCCTTGAAATTATACTCCAAAGCTACTGTGATAAAAGCAGCATGGTACTGGCAAAGAAACAAACCTGAGGATCAGTGGAACAAAATAAAAGATGCAGATGCAATGCCATGCACACTGTGACATCTTGTCATTGATAAAGGGACAAAATATGTACACTGGAAGAAAGAGAGACTCTGTAATAAATGGTTCTAGGAAAACTGACTTTCCACATGCCAAAGACTAAAACTAGAACCAAGTCTATCACACCACGAACTAAACCAAAGGAAAAATGGATCAAAGATCTAAATATTAAAGCAGAAACATTCCACCTATGGACAGTGAAAATAGGTAGAAATCTCAAAGGCATAGGTGTAGGCAGGCATTTCATAACAAAACCCAGACTGCATGAGAAACACTACAAAGGATAAAGAGATGGAATCTCATCTTATTAAAAAGCTTTTGTACAACAAAAGAAATTACCAACAGAGTGAAAAGACAAGCCACCAAGTGGGAAAAAATTATAGCCACATGTCCCTCAGACAGAGAACTTATATCTAAAACATACAAAGAAATGAAAAAAATCAGACTCCCTTAATTCAAAGACCCAATCCAAAAATGGGCATATGAGATGAATATGTGCTTCTCAGATGAAGAAATACAAAGA